TCCCACAACCTCCTCCTTGCGTTTGATTCATTTGCTAGAGCAGCTCACAGGACTAAGAAATATTTTACTTACTAGATTACCAGTTTATTATAAAAGGATACAACTCAGGAACAGCCAGCTGGAAGAGATGCGTAGGGCAAGGTATGTGGACGGGGTGCAGAGCTTCCGTGGCCTCTTGGAGGGTGCCACTTCTCCCAAATGTCCATGTGTACACAAACCCAGAAGCTCTCTGAACTCTGTCCATACAATATATATCCATACAACGAAATAGTCAGCCTTCAATAGGAATGAAGTACTGATACATGCTACAACATAGATGAACCTTGAAAACATTCTTTTAAGTGAAATAAGCCAGACACAAAAGGATAAATATTGTATAATTCCACTTACATGAGGTACCTAGAATAGTCAAGTTCATAGAGACAGAAAGCAGAATAGAGGTTTCCAGGGGCTTAGGGGAAAAGGAAATGGGAAGTTAATGTTTAAGAGGTACAGAATTTTAGTTTGGAGAGATGGAATAGTTCTGGAGATGGAGAGCGGTGATGGCTGCATAACAATGTGAACGTACTTAATGCCACTGAACTGTACCTTTAAAAATGGTGAAAGTGGAAATTTTTGTTATGTATATTTTATCACAATAAAAAAATCTTTTTTTAGACTAGTGTGGGTGGGGTGGAGGGGAGAGACAAATAGGCAGAGCACAGAGGACATTTAGGGCAGTGGAAATACTCTGTGATATCATGATACACGTCATCATACATCTGCCCAAACCCACAGAATGTACAACACAAAGAGTGACCCCTAAGGTAAACTACGGACTTGTTGATGCAAAATAACCAATAACCATTCTATAGATATGAGAGATAAAGAGAGCTTTACTTGAGCCAAACTGAGAATTATAACCCTGACAGGCCTTTTCCAGAAAGGAAGAAAGTATTCTGGAGAAGCACGGTTTTCAGTACAGTCTTATATCTTTTTAGAACAAGGAGCATACATTAAACCTGCCCAGGATACATATTCATCAAAGTTTCGAAGAGGTATTCAGTTGTAAATTAGCAGGTCCACACAACCCTGATGTCAGGAAAGGGACTAGGCGTTCCCAAGAGGGCGTAGGAGGGGAAGTATGCATTCTCATCTTAAGGGAGGGGCCGGCCCGGTGGGATAGTGGTTAAGTTCACGTGCTCCACTTCAGCAGCTGGGGGGTTCGCAGGTTTGGATCCTGGGCACAGACCTATGCAGGTGTGCTCATTAAGCCATGCTATGGTGCCGTCCCACATACAAAATAGAAGAAGATTGGCGTGAATGTTAGCTCAGGGCCAATCATCCTCACCAAAAAAAAAAAAAAGTGCATTCTTTACTTTAATGGTTAAAGCACATGTACAATGTATGTTTGATAGGCCACAAGGCAGACTTCTTTAGTTCAAGCTGAATCCATTTTGAACCTGAATATTCGCCCCAAACACCTCAATATGTGAAAATCTCTTGTCAAACTTTGGGTGATCATGATTTGTCAATGTCAGTTCATCTCTGTTTAAAAATGTACCAGTCTGGGCCGGCCCCGTGGCTTAGCGGTTAAGTGCGCGTGCTCCTCTACTGGCGGCCCGGGTTCGGATCCCAGGCGCGCACCGACACACCGCTTTTCAGGCCATGCTGAGGCCACGTCCCACATACAGCAACTAGAAGGATGTGCAGCTGTGACATACAACTATCTACTGGGGCTTTGGGGGAAAAATAAATAAATAAAATCTTTAAAAAAAAAAAAAATGTACCAGTCTGTTGACTGATGTTGATAAGGGGGAGGCTATGCACATGTGGGGGCAGGGAGCATATGGGAAATCTTTGTACCTCCCTCTCAATTTTGTTTTAAACCTAAAACTGCTCTAAAAAAAATGATCTTTAACAAAATAACAGGTTGGGGTCAGCCCAGTGGCACAAGCAGTTAAGTGCGCGCGATCCGCTGCCCTGGCCCGGGGTTTGCCAGTTCGGATCACGGGCGCGCACCGACACACCGCTTGGCAAGCCATGCTGTGGCGGCGTCCCATATAAAGTGGAGGAAGATGGGCACAGATGTTAACCCAGGGCCAGTCTTCCTCAGCAAAAAAAAAAAAAAGGAGAATTGGCAGATGTTATTGCAGGGCTGATCTTCCTCACAAAAATAAAAAAATAACAAGTTTAGGTATATATTAATAATAGACAGGGCCGGCCCCGTGGCTTAGCGGTTAAGTGCGCACACTCCACTGCTGGCAGCCGGGGTTCGGATCCCGAGTGCGCACGGACGCACCACTTCTCCGGCCATGCTGAGGCTGCGTCCCACATACAGCAACTAGAAGGATGTGCAACTACGACATACAGCTATCTACTCGGGCTTTGGGGGGAAAAAAGGAGGAGGATTGGCAATAGATGCTAGCTCAGAGCCGGTCTTCCTCAGCAAAAAGAGGAGGATTAGCATGGATGTTAGCTCAGGGCGGATCTTCCTCACAAAAAAAAAAAAGTAAAAACAAAAAAAATAATAATAGACAATGTAAGCTTTAGGGTGGAATTGCATTACTAGAAATGAAGAGAAATTTCATAAAAATAAATGATTTAATTGACCAGAAAGGGTCAATTCCCTGCCCTTCCTTCCTAGGGAGCCTTAGGAACTGGCTGGGCTAGCCTCAATCTTTCCTGACTGGCATGGGGGGCAGGGTGGGGGGGGTGGTGTTGGGAGGGTGTAATGCCAATCAGATCTTGCTGGAGACTGTCAGAAATTCTACGAGTGACTCAAATAGACATGTTGAGTGAAATAAAGAGTCTAGGTAATATTAGTGAAGGCGTTTATACAATAATCAAAGTGAGGAGTTGACCCTGGGAAACGGTTCATTAGAGTATTCTGGTAGAACTGCTCCGAGGTGTGTGGGTTTAAGTGCAGCTCATCTCTCTTTTACAAGCAGTGTGCATGCAAGGAAGAGGGAAAAAAACTTACAGCTAAATTCCATATATATCAAAAAAGGGATAGAGTACATCTGGTTTTTCTCTAGACTATACATTGAACGTGACATAAATAAGAATTCCTTGGTTATACATCAAACAAGTTCAGGGATGCTGAGGTTATCTATGTGTGGAGGGAGGCAAGGACCAGGGTGGTTAATTATTCCCTCAGCCTCCAAGAAATGCAGCTGGGGATGTAGGAGCTAGGGACCGTTTATCTTTTTCTGTAGCTGACTTCTCCTGCTGGTGTCTTCAGTCATGAGGTGTGGGGGTTCCAAGGTCATTTCATCACAGGCTGAAGATGGCCCGCACGGCTGCTTCACAGGACAGCACAGATGTGACTATTGACTTAAAGCCTGTGCAGTTTGCTTGCTAGATTCTCCTGTTAGACCAGGGAGAGTGGTACAAAAATCCGTCCACGGAGGTTCAAGACCATTCAGCAGACGTGCCTGGAAGGTGCTGCGTATTGGTTTGATGCGATTTCAGATCCACTTGTTTATGACAAAAATGAAGTTTGTAAGAGCAAAGGAGCTTTGATATAAGAACGAAGTAACTGGGTCATGACGTCATGGTCCGCATCTGTAGAGGATAAGCAACCAGTAACACAGCTGCTGACAGGCGGCGCTGGGGCTTATCAATAAAAACATAGGAAGAAGCAACGATGGCAAGGGGACATTTAGACTATAAACACTCGCAGTTGGTGAGAATTATTCGAGTGTTTCAGTCTGGGCTAGGCGGCTCTTTGATCTTCGGGCACTAGCTCCTGCGGTGTCCAGGCACTCCTGGCCCGTAGCCGTGGAAACCGGTCAGCCCCCCAGAAGATCAGCCTGCCAGTCAACACAAAGGCCGTTGTTCCCTAGCAACGGTTGCTCTAGCAACAAGGGACTTTTATTTTGCGCTGGCGGCTGGAGGTCAGCTCTCGTTTGCAAAGCCATCTCTCCTGAGAACCGACCTTGTAGAAAACGTGCATCTCAGTTGCATTTAGACGTTACTTCTATCTCCACTTGCGTGGAATAATAGTGTGATTAATCTATCACTGGTTTGAAGTCTGTTATTTCTTTATTGGCTTATTAGACATTACCCTGTGTGCTACTGGCTTATGAAATGATGATGATTCCCACCCTGAACCTGTGTTAAATAAATTGCTGGCAAAGACAAACTCAGTCTCTGAGCATATTTTGCCCCTCCCCCAAAACAGGACAGCAGGGCGCCTGAAGATCAGGTGACTGCGCTATTTAAACAGGTCTAGGTTTTTTTTAGCAGGGTGGGAGGGAACTGGGTCCGTGTCCTGGAGGTTAGGGTTTAGGTAGGTGTTCTCTTTAACTGCAACTTGCGGTTGAGGTCGTCGCTCCTCCTTGCTGGGAGGTCGCTGCTACAATCCGCATAACGGTCAGAACAGCCTTTTCTGAGAACTGTTTTTGCAATCCTTGCAGTCTATCACCTTATCAAACCTCACGGGGTGGGGGAGGTGGGAGTGACAGAAAAGAGGAAGGGGGGCCCAAGAGGGACACTGAGGACCCTCCATCGTGTCCGTTTCGGCCCTTTTACAGCACAGAGAAACGCTTTCCTTTCCTTGGGAAGCGACTGGGCTCCGGACACTGCACAAAGTCCGCAGGGAGGCGCGTTGGTTGCACAGCTTCCAAGCCCGGGAGCCTGGAATTGGGGCAGCGGGCGGAGGGGACGGTGAGGGCCAGAGGCTGGGGGGCCGGCAGACGCGGGAATACCCCGCTGCCTCCAAGGATCAGGAGTGCCTGCGGGGAAAGTTCTGCAGGAAATAAGAATCTGTGGGGGGTGGGGCCAGACCCTGGGCTCTGGGAGGTTGGGTTCCGGGGGCGGGCCAGGGCGCACGCAGCTCTCGGATCCACTTCCCGCTGGGCTCCTCCTCCGCCTCCTCCCCTTAACCCCTTAAACCGTCCGTTTCGAGGAGGGCGTTGGGCAGCAGGTACAAAATGCCTGGGCAGGAGGAATCTCTGTCGTCGGTCCGTCCTGGGGGGCCGTGGGGGGGGCTTGTTTTTTTATGTATATATTTTTTAACAGTGCCATCCCTCTTGTCTGCAGCCCTGCAACCCTCTAGTACGTGGAACGAGCTCTCGGGCTGCGCCATCCGCAGACACGTCTAGAAGCCGGCGCTGGGGAAATGGTAAGTGTGCCGGGTTGTTGCACAAGTGCACACCGAGGGTGGGCGGGAGCGAGTCGGGTTCCAGGGACTTGGGAACAGCTGTCTGCAAAAGCTGGATTCTCTCCGTCCGGGAGGAAAGGGGAAGCCAAGATTGGCGCACGTGTTCAGCCCTAAATGCGTCCTTCACCTTGCTCCAGGGAGAAGCCCCCTACCCCGCCTGCGGTGCAACCTTGCAAAACGCCCCTGTCCCTGGGTGTGGGCAAGATGTCCGCAGGCTGCAGTTGCCGGCGTTGTGTTATTTGAATCCATAAAAGTGTTGGATTCCGGTGTGATTAGGGTGAGCTGAAAATTTCCGGGCACAGTCAGATTTAGAGGATGCCCATCGGGTTATCTTCTAGAGAGAGAGCTTCGGGGTTGGGGTTGGGGTTTGGGTTTGGCCCGATGGGCACATTCTTTATTTTTGTGAACTGAGATCTCTGTAGATGGAGGGCGTTTATGAAGGGACGAATTGGGGTGGCGTGGTGTTGTCAGGTTCAAACGCCGCGGTCCGAAAAATTGCGTTTGCCATAATATACTCCAGTGAGTTCTCCTTCTCAGGAAGCTCAGAGCACAGGTGGGGGGATGTGTTTCATCTGCCAGATGTGTAAGTTTTCCTTCTACCTGAGCTGACTCAGAATTATGCGTTCTTCTTTTTTCCCTATTGCCCCAAGCCAATGTGCCTGAGATACCAGGAAGGATTCTGGGGCCCCAGTTGTGTTGGTTTGTTGTAAGGGGGGAGATTGCCCTCCAAAGGAACCTGCCAAGTAAAGGGAATGATGGGGTCATTTTAGGATTGGGGAAAGGGTGGAGTTCAGGATAAATTTAAATGAAGCTTAGATAGGCTCAAGCTGAGATGTGTGCAAAGAGGTTATTGTCAGGTCGACGTGTTTCCTTGGGAACTACAAGGTCAAGATAGTTGTGGAATGTTGTATCCCACTCCTTATCACATTCCTTATCTGGAGCTCTGCCCCAGAGTTGCAGATAGAGACTGCTTCTCCTCCATCCAAGTGACTTAGATCTTCCAGGAAGAGCAGAATGTTCTTTACGGATGTGATGTCAAACAGCAGTGTTTTTTGCTAGGCTATGTTTTTTTTTTTTTTTTTTGCTGAGGAAGATTTGCCCCGAGCTAACATCTGTTGCCAACCTTCCTCATTTTTTGCTTGAGGAAGATTAGGTCTGAGCCAACATCTGTGACAATCTTCCTCTATTTTGTACATGGGGCTATGATTTTTAGAGAACAAAGTTTCTCAGTGAGTACGAAAACAGCAAGCAAGACAAAACAATTTTCCTTTCGACTTTGCAGCTGGCTCCATCTGAGTCTGATGAATGGCAGAGTGTAATACCAAGCACTGCTCTGCTCGAAGTGATCTGAGCCAATCAATCACAACGAGTTAGGGATCAAGAAAGGAAGCTTTAATTCAATTAGCCAGCATAATCGGGAAGATGGCAGACTAATATCTCAAAAAAAACCATCTTCAAAAATTACAGAATCTTCAGGGATTCTGTAATGTAGGGAAAATGGGCAGTGAGGAGGGGTCCAGTGATGTTGGTCTCCAGGCATGACGGGCTCCAGGCATCACATTATTCCATTCTTCTGTCAGCTGTGATGGATACCTTGTAGGTGTGTTCCCTGCCTGTGGTCAGCCTGTTCGTGGAGACAAACTCGTAGAACAAAGTTTTAATTTATCAAGCTATAGGAGAGTACATACATAAGTGGAGGCCATAAATCAGGAGAGCTGTGAAGTATTTTAGAGTACGTGCAGAGCAGCAAGTAGTCACATAGAGGAGGGGCTGGGGCAATTTAGCTGACAATATGGCCTCACTTATGTTCACTTACAGGTGGACTTCACATCATTTCACAATAAAAGGGTTACCTATCATCTCTACTTTGCCCAAGCATTTAATAACTTTATAATATTATTTGATCGTTGCATTTCTTTTTGTTTTGTGAAAACCTGAGTTAATGTGAACTCCAGAGTAATGAATACGAGGGGATCTTGGGAACCAACATAAATATTTGAATTTTTTGCTACCCAAGTAGCATATTTCTTAAGAAATGGAATGGGTATATTTAAGAAGATGTGGGAATACAGTTTTGACTTCTAGCAGGTTGTTTGTGCCCCTAGAGAATTTGGAATGTAAAGGCCATGAAATCTTTCAAATAGAAGGAATTCCTATTTTAGCTGGAAAATGTGACTTCAAAGTAAAAAGTCAAACTCATCAATTGAGTTGTAAATTCTTTATTTAATTCTAAACTGTATTTCATTTAATAATTTAGTATTTGAATGTGTATGTAATAAATCAATGTGTTTAAAAGTTGAAATGATCAGGGCAAACCTCAAAGTCCTTCCTCTGTCTTGCCTCAGTTCACTCTGTTCACAACTCCTGGCCACCCAGAAGTAACCACTTTTATAGGTCTTGCATATCTTTTCAGGGTTCCTTATGTCAGCTTAAGAGCAAATTCGCCTGTTATTTTGCCCTCAAAATGAGTTTATTTGGGAATAGCCAAAAGAATTGCAACTCGGGATGTCCATGCTATGGCAAACCATAGGCAAATCCAGAAAACAAAGGAGGGGAGCTGCTTTTATAGAGAAAAAGGGGGAGTAGGGGGCTGTTCTAAATGAAAGTCCATTGGAGGAAAGTAGCAGTTCAGGGTGGCAGTGGCTTCTCATTGGCTGAGCTGCGGCATTTCTCATTGGCTGAGTTGCGTGTTTCTCATTGGCTGACCTGCAGCGTTTTTATTGGCTGAGCTGCAGTGTTTCTTATTGGCTGGGCTGTTGCCAGGTGGGGATGTCACCTTACCCACTTCCTTTTTGCCCCTTGCCCAGAAAGCTAATCACCAAGAGGATGAGATTGCAGCAGAGAGGGGGTTTTAATTACAAGGCAGCCAAGTGAGGAGGCGGAAGACAAGTCTCAAATCCACCTCCCTGAAAATGGGGACTCAGGGATATTTATGGGGTAGGGGGCAAGGTGGTCTGAAGTGTGGAGACAGATGATTGGAGGTGAGGAGAAGTGAGGTAATTGATGAGCTGCTCAAGCCTAGTCAAGCTTCATGCCTCTTCGTAGGATGCATGTTCACAAAATGGTGGGGACCTCATGGTCTGAGGGTGAAGTTTTAGCTCCTTGACATCAAAAAGGTCACTTGTTGAGCATTTGTGCAGGCCCAGTTGATGGGTTGGTGGTCTCAACTGGCCTGAACTGGACAAGGGGTCCTAATTCTTGATAAACTGCTCAAACATCTGTTACTGTGGTGACCCAGGCGCCAGGGAGATGTTATCTATAGGGACTTAGTGGAGTCAGATAGTATATTGCCTAAGCGCCCAGTTAAAAACTGGTGGGTGAACAACGAAAACCTATAATTAGTAATTGCACAAAAACTTTAGTTACTAGCTACCTAATCATCAATGGCTAACTGTTTACCGGTTTCAGGGAGAGAAGTCTTCCTTCAGTAGTAAAGATGTTTTACTTCCTCTGGAAGATGCATCTGTTTCCTCCTATTTGGAATAATTGATGACTATGATAGGGCGTGAGAGCTCCCACCCCCCCACACACACAGGTCTTTCTGACTCCAATTTCGTTAAGGTTTCTTTTATTATTTTCCACACTTATTTTCCCTTTATTTCATGAAAATGAGCTTCTGCTGCTATTATAAGAGGTCTTTGTTGCAGATTTAAAAAGACTTAAGTGACCGAATGCAACATGTGGGTCTTGTTTTGGAGACTGATTAGATTCTTGATTCTATAAAGGCGATGCTGCTAGTATTTCTCGGTGTGGTAATGTGATCACATTTTAAAAGATTCCTCATGCTTTAGAGATATACAGTGACAGTATTTAAGAATGAAATGCTATGATAGCTGGAGTTTTGTTTACAATAATGCAATAGGAGAAGGGAAATGGAGGGAGATGGGAAGATGATACAAGGTTGTGTGGGGAAGCTGGGTGATTGGTGGATGAGGGTTTCCTTTTCTTTCATTCTGACTATATTGTGTATGTTTGACACTTTCCATACTTAACACAAATGTTTAGAAAGGCCTCTTGTACTACTCAGCTTTTTAAAACCAAGAATGGATTGGCTGTAAGATTACATGGTAGGATAAATATAATAACTTTAAGCTTTAATCCAAGTTTGCTTAATATATGACTTTATGAAAAATTTCATAAAGACAAGAGCAGATACAAGTTATAAGTAGAATTTTTTAAATAACATAATAAATACATAGGTCTTCAAATTAAGGAATCTGCCACTTGTGTTGGTTAGAGGCAGTGTGCTCCTGCCTGACCCCATTACCTTCCTCTCAGGGTTGATCACTGTCTTGAATTTTCTATTGCCAAAATTGACTATAATGGAGCCATTTTAAATGGAGTCAGAGCTGCCTGTCCAGAGAAACTGTCTTGCTGTCTTGAACCTTGGACTGGGCCAAACCTTTAGACTGGGCCAAAATGACAATTGTTTTACAAGCAATTGTCTGAGAAGTCAGCGGGAGACTAGACATCCTGATCACAAACACTGAGGATTGTGGACTTGCTGAAGATGGAATCAATAGCCAATCAGTGTTCAGCCAAGACTAGCTCTCTGCCTCCAACTCCAACTAAAATTCTTTGTAATACAACCTCCCTTCTTTGTCTTTGAAAGACCATGACTTTTATTCCCTAGCCAGACTCTATTTGGGTTTCCCACCTGAATCTGTGCTCCCCAAATTGCGATTCTTGAGACCCCAAATAAACTTTGAGCTTCTCTTGCAATTTATGCCTCTTATGTGGTGACACTATTAACCATTCTCTTGATTTTCCCTTTTTTCTCCCTTAAAATTTATTAATTTCTCTCTTAAAATTTATATTTTAAGCACTTTCAGACCTGAAATGAAAATAAACAGTAATAATAATCAATACCCATGTAACTACAATGATTCACAAATTTTTTATATTGTGCTTTGTTTGCTGTATGTATATGAACGTTTTTGCCTTGTTTGCTCTGTATGTGT